ATCCATTGTGGTGGTGTATAGAGCCAAAGATGTTAGAATTGTGTCGATGTCCCAATATTTCTGGACCTGACTGTAGCATAAAGCTTGATGAAGGTTTGTAGCAGACTGAGATAAGCATTAGGTAGTAGAGTCCTAGGGTGATGCAACTGACAATATTTGAGAGTTTGGCTCCTGCAAATACAATGCAACAGTTTATTACAATGGTGGGGAATTATTTTTTCTGTGTGTGCTAATTACGTGCAGGGAGATATTGCTAAATAAGCTTGTCTCCTCTGTACTTAATAGAGTTACATTAAGTATTTATCCAATAGATGTAAATGCAGATGTTGTGAGTTGCCACTATCAAGAGGACAACAGTGTCCTTGCGGTAACCACACTGGTGGTTGTCACCAACCCACAGGACTTTTAAAAGTGAGCTGAATTTCAGTAGCTGGAATACTTCATAGGAAGTGGGGTAGAAGAGGAAGAGAAGTCACAGTCAGACAGATTATATTATTGTGACACCACAATCTGTGGCCTGGTATGAGCCCAAGGGTGATATGCAACTGATGAAGAGAATGAAGCTGTGTTGGGTCCTGAACAGATTAACATGTAAGAGAGCTAATGTGCTATGTAAATGCTATCTTGGCAGGCATAGTCAGTTGACTTTCATCCAGTGCCCTTCACGTGACTCACTTTAAATTATAGATGCAAAGATGAGGAATACATCAAAATAGGAGCTTGGTAAAGGGCCAGGGCTTTACTGAAGAAGCCATCTGAGTGGACATAATTCTGTTCACTGGTGCCTTAGTTGATTATTGCTTTGTACAATCCAAATCTCTCCACTGGTTATTTATTTTTACTGTCTTTAATTTAATCATGTCAAGATTACAAATGGACTGAATACCTGACTATCATGATCCTTCTACGTCCTAGCTCAGCAACACAGTGTGCACATAACACCAAAGCCAAACTGAAGAAAAATTAAAATGTTTATTAAAAATGGCCAACATTTTACAAGATTGCCAAGATTTCATCATTGTTCCCCCATGGAATTTGAATGCCAAAATGTCATGAAATTGTAGGCATTAAGAAAAAGGAAATTACAACTTTTACATGTTGGTGCCCACACCGTTATGCAAAATTGCACAGTGGTTTCCACTGCCAGAAAGCCTTGACTCAGATCACGAGTGCTCAGTGAATTAATGGGGGAGTAGGTAAGAAGTTTTCTTTCTTTAATTGTATGATTTGTACACCACCAGCTACAAAGTGGCTCTTGGCAGTTTACAGTCCTAAAACATCCTAACTAAAACTACCATCACAGTCTCCCGAATAGCGGCATCCACAGGAGATGTGCAGTTGTGGCAGTGTGATGGAACACCCTTCCTTTTGTAGGTGCATTGACACACACATGTACAAAGAGGCAAGGCCTTGATTATGCTGCCAGAACCACCATCTTGATCCCCGCTGTATTGCTCCTAAACAGTGGAGAAGTCCTATATCCTTATGGATTTTTCTAGATGTAGTCCTATTTCTTCAAACTTAAACTTGTGACCAGTGGGCAATTTAGCACAGCTAAGACAGGCCAGAATACTTGTTGCATTATCCAAATGGTGGAAGGATTTTGTTGGTGCATCCCTACAATCTCAACCCTTCCCCATGGCAAATGTAGTACCTACTTTAGTATCCCATTATTCCCCATTAACCCCACTTAGCCTTGCCCATTACAGTAGTCATTATCCAAATAACTTATCCAAAACTGGCTGGATTTTTAAAAATATGTTGTCTTATTATGTAATAATAATGCATATTTGTTTCCCAGGTAGTGCGGTTATAGCTGTCTTATTCCTAAAAGAGAACTTTAGATCTGAAAGTATATTGGGTAAGTACTGTAAACAATCACCATCAAATCTTTAGTTGATGTATAGTTTATTATGAAAACATGAGGCTTTGCAAACACATCACCTTCACTGTAATTCAGCACAATTTAAAAATTAATATGAATGGACATTTTTTTCCTTTTTATACTAATTTGGTCACTTCCAAAAGCATTTTAAGAAGATTTTGCTGGTGAATCTTTACTGTATATTGAACTTTCTCTCCACCTCAAAACAATATTTTTGCTGAACAGGATTACCATGCTTTAGAATTAATTTATTAATATCTTTATTCTTTTACATAAGTTAGCAGCCCAATGTTATTTTTGGCATTGAGACTACAACAGTTACTTACAAATGTTGTCAACATATTAAAGATGTCTGAGGGTCTCAAACTTTATTATGATTATCCTTTTGTAGCATCTGTTTATGTTTCTAAATGGGACACTCTAATTTTTGCCTTCTTAGAAAAAATTCCAGGATCCGATTCAGAAGCTAATTGTGCAAAAAAGGTCATCCTGTTTTCACCTCATTATTGTCTCCACAAATATTACAGATGAATGGAGAATTTTCTGTCAGCTGTATGTGAAACATACACAGTATATGATTTCTTAATAAGTTTTATGTCTTCATTATTTTGCTGATAAGTGAGCTGATTATTTTAAAAGGAATGGCTCCTATGATTTGGGAATTATGGATAAGCTCAAGATTTTTTGCACAATAAATAATACACAGGCATGCCTTTGAGAATTGAGCTAAAGCAAAAAATAATGTATTTTACACCCACCAGGGATAGCTGATGTCTAATGAGTATGAGTCATAACGGCTGAATGTAATCTCCAAATTCGCTATAAGAAAAAAACTGATATTACGATGCTTGCAAAGAAGGCGTTGATAGTACAACTGCTCTGCTTCCTGCTTTGAATGTTACATTATGCTAGATAAAATCATCTCCCTTTTGTGTTTCCCTGTTGGTCGCTGCATCTTTTTCCTTTTCCACAAAAACTGTTAAGCAAAACATGATGAAAATGGCAGACAGGACATTCTGATTGATCACACTAATCCCTGGAGAATACCCTGAGCTTCCAGAAACACATCTGGTCCTGAATGTTTTGGGTACACCCCTCAGACCCTCTCCAAAAATTGGTGTCAAATAATTTGTCAAGAGAAGTGGAAAACTGCTAAATACACGTAGAGTGACACATTCACTTATTTAATGTTAGATAAGATTAGATTTAATTTAGATTTAAATTTTGTCAGGTTCTGCTTGCTTCCTTGTTGTAGTGAGGTCCATAGCATACCATTCAGTGGCCAAGCACAGCCTTTGCCTCTCTTGCTCCGGGTCCCTACTTTAGAAACCTTCTATCTTGCCACTTTCTAGTCCTGATGATGCCCATGTTGGGAGCATTTGCTTGACTAGTGTGGAATGCAGGAGGCCTGGAGAGACTTATGATTAAATTCAACAAGGTTGGTCATAACTAAATATTATTAGTCCTGGCAGTAGTTGTTCAGTTTATTATGCACTTATACTTAAGCACTGTACAGATCTAGAAAATGGCAATTAATGCAATAACATATTACCATTGATGATAACTTCATACAGTATTATAAAATTAGGAGCATCTAAACAAAAAGGTCCATGACATACTGTATATTAATATTAACCTCCATACATTCAAAATAACAGGCAAAAATTTATTTCTTCATTTATTTTAAAGCAGCTTCACAGGGGGTCCTTGAAGTATAAGTACTTTTAATGCCTTTGTAACCTTTAAGGGATCTAACTCCAAGTGTAATCTCAGTGGGAGTCAATTCCAGTGACCCAGAGGTGAGTAAGGAGAAGATAATCGTGGTGTGGCTGATCTGCTAAGTGGTAGAACTATATGACCATGACTGGGTCAAGAGCATAGGTAGAAAGACCAATAGGTTTCCAAATAACTGGGTGTAGCATGTGAAGTTTTTGTGTCACTTTTGAGAAGCCACAACTACCTATCACTTCTTCTTTAAATGCAGCAAAATAGATATTTGTCTGCCATTGCACATAGTTTGTTTGCATGTTTTTTCCTACCCAGAATTACCATCTGCATGGCAACCTCAGATTCTCTGAAGTGTTCTCCTTTTGCACAAATTGCAGTAAATGACTTTGGGCAGCTTTCTCCAAGCTGGTGCTCTCCAGATGTTTTGGGGTTACAACTCTCAGAGTTCCCTCCTCCTATGTTGGAGGAGGCTGGTTTTTGAGTCCAGGGCAGATAATACAGGCTGCAGAATAGCCTCTGTAGATGTTTGCAGGGGGGAAAAACAGTACTATTGCACTAACCCTGGAATATGTACAGTAGTTTCTTGATTAATGAGATATATGGAGAATTTACTTCTCAGCTGATCATGTTCCTCTTATATACTGCTCATAGTCTTAAGCAGCATTCTGTGCTGATTTATTTTATTTCTGTGAGTGTCTTTGTCATGGAGGTTTTTAACAATGTTGATGCATTCCATTGACATTAGCAATATCATGGCAAAGAGAATGATTGCTGGGAGGATTTGTGTAAGCACATAAATACTATATAGAACTCTGCCACGCCTCTGCATTTTTCTCCTCCTTCAAATGATCCCATTAATATTCTGTGCAGTCTTTTGTACCCCAGAAACTCATATTCTCCATTGATTGTGGAAGCAGAGAATTTTAAACTTGAAGGAAAGAAGACCTTCCTCCCCCAAAAAACCCTAGATTCCACTGTGCCAACTTTATATTGGCTGGTCACCAATACCACAGAAGACATTCTGATGCAGAAAAGGACATGTTTATGTCTGTATGCTTGCATGTTCAAGTATACTTAGTCATAAGCCAGTGTCCAATGTAACATGGATGCATTACATCTTTTTGTTTGAGTAGTTCTTCTGATAGGATCTGGGTGGAAAAGGGGATGTCTCCATATCCTGTCCTATCATAGTATAGAGTTCTCCCTGGAAAGGACTCTGGACAACCTCCTGAAGACTCCAGTCTAGATGTGCTCCTTGCTTGCTAAGGGATTGCTCAGAGTCTTCAGGGTAAAGAACATTTCTAACAGTTTCCAAAAGCAGTGACCATTATTTAATTTATTTATTTATCAAATTTATATAGCCGCCCACCTTACAAGAAGTGACTCTGGGAAGTGTATAACAATCAAATAAAACAACACTATAAAAACAGTCATTATAAAAACAATCATTCTAAGAATATAGACAATCATTATTGAAAATTTAAAAATTGTTAAAAAGAGTATACAAACCACAAGGAGAGAGTAAATATATCAACCACATATCAACCACAATACGGGAGACACCTTGAAATGTTGCTGGTTCCCTGGGACCTAACCAAGCCTGGTGACATAACCAAGTCTTGAGGGATACCCTTATTCTTATCCTTGACTGATAGGAGAGGAGGGAAGTTATTCCCAAAGCATCAGGAGCAGCCAGTTTGGAGTTCACTTACCTGTCCTGTCCACTGTTGAATTCTTCATTTAAAGAAAACTTTCCCATTCAAGATGGCATTAAACTGTTTTGAGCTTCTGTAGTTGAGCCTTCCAGTGTGTGTGTAGGGTTAAAGAACTTGAGTTTCAGGGTTTTTAAGCTTTGAAAAGAACACCATCTTATCCATTTAGTCAGTGCTGTGGCCTGTTCCTCTGGTTCCTCCATAGACAATCTCAGTTGTATTCTATAGCCCTGTAGAAAAGCGAAGACTGCTTTTAGTCAATTTCAACTCTTGGTAACTTACAGTAAATTCTTGTTATTTGTGGTAGTTACATTTTATAAAATCGCCGTGAACACTGAATTAGTGAGTACCGAACCATTGCTCCTAAGCAAATACAGGGTAAAGTTCCTACAAGCCTCTGGCCACAACATTTTTGTCGACTGCTCAGTACATAACCTTGTTTTATGTGTGTTTCTGTTTAAAGACACCTTATTTAATGTTTATATATTTCTTACAAGTAAAGTCCTGAAAAAAAAAAGTTAAGCATTTAAAGTATGTTATAAAAATAAAATCTTACTTTTGATGGCCATTTTAACCAGCGAGATCACTGAGAGTAGGCAGATGTGTGCAGAGTGGTCACTTACAATTTTCACCACTCTGTGCATGTCCATGAATAACCAGGAACACCTTGCAAGTCTTGATTTTGGGGTTACAAGTAAATGTTAGCAAATAGGCGAATTCGCAAATACAGAACCCGCAGATAATGAGGATTATCTGTACTTATTTTGGCAAGAACAAGGTTGTGGTTGCCTTCTTCCAGAGTTGTTTTCAACATCTCAGTCTAGCCTACAGCTCTGGATTAGCTAACAGGAGGATGAGTGATATGATAGAAAGTAGAGTTTGTGTTGGTGTGCTTGTTCCTGTTCCCACTCCGATCCACTTTTTAAATATTCTTCCTCTAAGAAGAGCTGTCACTACTTGATAGAAATTAGTTAAATAGCTGAAATTCTACCCCTCCATTGAAATGCTGAATGATATTTTATTTACTGTTGCTCGCATTATGTCTTATGGATGGGAATGTGATCCGAAATTTAAAGGCTTCTGTATAGGAAATAAACACAAGCTATCATTCTGTGCATGTAATACCTTTTTTTAAATTTGAGGCCCTTTGTTTTATCATTTACGAAATTGCTTCATAATCACGGTCTCTTCATTTTTTATCAAAGTTGCTTGGGGGTTTTCTAATTGTATGTGGTATAGAAATAAAATGTTTATCTAAATGGATTTCCCCTTTGGCATAGATTTTATAATATTTTACAATAGATGAATCTCTATGTATAATTTGATAAATTGTTATTAAATGTATATGTGATATATTAAGGTGATTTGTATCAGTTTAACAAGTTGATAATTCTTGAGAGGTCATTTTGTTTATCTTTTTTTGGGTTGTTTTGGTAATATAATTTAACAATTAGATTATCCATTGGACAGATGTATATTACCATTTTTAAAAATCTGATTTCATTCATTTTTGTGTATTTTTTTAAAAATGCAGTAAAAGAAAAAAAATGTTTGTCTAAATCTATTTCAAGGTGGTACAGTGACTCTTGCAGGAACATTTCTGTTGGTGACCTTTGCGCCTCACGTTACCCAGAAAGTCACAGCAAGAACAATACAGAGTAATTTAGTCAGTTGGCAGTTCTTGATTTATATGGTGAGTGTAAAATTCTTAATTCACTATATAGAAGCATGACCTGTAACAAATTTTTGCACTGTACAGTAGTCTGCTCCTGTTCAGTCTTGCTGTTTTTCTTGATTATTTCATTCTGTTTCCCCTCCCCTCTGATTTCTCTATCTTCTGTCTGGTGGATTGTGAAGGGTGCCACTTTGGATACATAAAGATTGCTACTCCCAAATGATATATGAAGGATAATTTGGGCATCTTGGTGAAGAGTCGAAAGCTATTTCTTCTGCAACACATTCTTTAGAATAAGGATGTTGATATTTGCTCACTTCAGCTGTTATTCTGTCCACATTCCTTTGGTGAAGTAGAGTGAATTTTGGAGTGTTTCTCCATGAGAAGCAATATAGCATAAAAAGGTTAGTGTAACAAAAGTGATATTTATATGTTTCTGTAGGTTAGGGTTCCATATATTGTAAATCACAATTTGCCAAACTAGTGACAAATCATATGACTGGTTATTTGAAATCCTTAAATCAAGGACTGAAAAAGTGAAAGACTCTTCAGACAATCAGATGAATCCCTAGTAATAAGATTTTTTTTAACCTGCATTTTGCTGAGAAGTTTTTTTTTTTTTAATTAAACTTATTTTCTGGCTCACACTATAGTTGTCATGGGTTTCCAACCTCAAAATGGTGTGCAAGCTCTCCTGCTGATTTTCAGAAAGCTGAAGTATGATGCCAGGTCCACAGGAAAGGGGAAAAAAGCAGGTTTCAGGAGCTGCATGTAAATGCAAGTATGAAGTGAATAAAGACATTTGCAACACTGCTTCAAATGCCAGCTGTAGGTTCTGGTTTGACGATCTCTATGAATTGCATTAATGTTAGTGAACATGTACCATGGCATGATGATTCAATCTGGAAAGGAAAAAGAGCATTTGCACAGTAGAGAGGAAGCAAGAAAGCATGGCCCAATCTGTAATAAATATGATTAAAAGATTTAATACAGCATAGAGCCAAAGTGTTCAGTTCTCTTTTGTTTTTTCAGAATTTTAAGTGGAAATTTTCTTTGCCAAAAATGGGCACTTTTTTCATCTTCTAGCCTGTAGACCAATCCAGGAAAGTTTAGAGTTAGGAATCACAAGCTCCAAGTGCGGAAGCTGAGCGACCGAAGATTGTACCTAATTGGTTCTTTTATTTCTCTATTTTTAAATTATTTTTTCTACTTACTGATTATAAGCCACAACAAAATTGAAAATATATAT